AGGATAATGGAAGACTGAAATAAGATTCCTAAAAGAATTCAATCCTTGCTCTTTGGAAAGAGAGATACCAAAGCTGCAACTGAAATACTTTGGCCGCTTAATGAAATGAGAAGACTCATTGGAAAAGACCCTGATGTTGGGAAAGATGGAAGGCAGGATAATAGGGACCTTGGAGGTCTTCTAGTCCAACCCCCTGCCCAGGCAGGAAGCCCTATACCCTTTCATGGCTGTGTCCAATCTCTTCTTCAAAACCTCCAGTGATTGAGGCTCCCACAAGTACTGGAAGTAAGGGGTTCCACTGATTAATTGTTCTAACTGTCAGAAAATTTCTCCCTTAGTTGTAAGTTGCTTAATAGTTAACTATTTACTTAATTAGTCAAGCTAATTAATTAATTAGTTGAGTTAACTAATTTGATTAATCCAGGCAAAAGGTGATGGGGAGAGCAGAGGATGAGATGGTTAGATAGTGTCATAAGCACCTGAAGGTAGAGCAAGAAGCCATGGATGGACACTAATCAAGGAGAGAAGCAACCTAGAACAGTGATAGCTAACCTTTTTTCTCCTCGCGTGCCGAAATCGTTGTGTGTTTGCGACAACATGCGCGTGTGTGCCCATACCCATAATGCAATGCACCCAGCCTCCCTGTAAATGCACACAAGTCCCCCCGTGCTTCCCCCACCCCTCATACATGCCTGTGACCCCCCGGTGCCCCGTTTTGGGCCTAGCAGACCTCCCTGAAGTCTCCTGAAACCAAAAATGGGGTGCTTGGAGGCGCGCCGCACCCCCTCCCCCTATGCAAGCGCGCACGTCTCCTGCATACATGGCAGAGACCCAAAAATCAGCTGGCTGGCGGGAGGCGTGCGCACATGCGCAATAAATCTGAGCTGGGCGACGGCTCGCATTTCCTCAGAGAAGGCTCCATAGGTGCCAAAAGTTCGCCATCATGAACCTAGGAGAAATGTCCTGATAGTTAGAACAATGAATCAGTGGAACGACTTGCCTCCAGAAGTTGTGAATGTCCCAACACTGGAAGTCTTTAAGAAGATGTTGGATAGCCATTTGTCTGAAGTGGTACAGGGTTTCCTGCTTGAGCAGGGGGTTGGACTAGAAGACCTCCAAGGTCTCAACTCTGCTATTCTACTCTATTCTATTTGCTCACAATGAGNCTCAGTAAATTAAAACTATTATTTGCTTTATTGGGGGGGGGGGGGGGAGAAAAAGGCATGTATTTCTAAGCTTGTTATTCTCTTCTATTTTACCCCCTCTCTAAATCCATAGAATTAATATATTTAGCCTTCCACATACCTAGAAGGATTTTAACCTGAATGGCAAACATTCATCAGGACTTCATCAGCTGGAGGGTCGTATTGAGTGGGGTGTTCAAACGTGCATTTCTGATCCATGCACGAGTCAGTATTTTTATTTATTTTTATTTATTAAAAATGTCTATAAAATCCATCACATTTGGGTGCCTCGGGGTGGGGGTGGGGTTGCAGATAAATAATTTATGGCATGGAAAAAGTAGGCAGAAATCTTATCTAATTTGCTGGGAATGGAAAACAGGAAGAGATTGCTCATACCCTAAAAAGCCTGTGTACATGTTTGGGAGACCGCGTACAAGTTGTCCTCAACTTACAACAGTTCGCTTAGTGAGCACCCAAAGTTACAAAGCGACTTACGATCATTTTTCACATTTACGACCATTTTTCACACATGCGACCATTGTGGCATTCCCCATGGTCATCATGTGGTCAAAATTTGGACGTTTGGTAACTGACTCCAGACGATTTTAATGTCCTGGGGTCATGGGATCTCCTTTTGCGACCTTCTGACAAGCAAAGTCAATGGGAAAGGCAGTTTCACTTAACAACCATGTTACTAACTTAACAACTGGCTAGGTATAAAGCCAAAAGGGTGGCCTCATTTTGGCAATTTAAAGTGTGACCTGGAACCTGAAATAATAATTCTTTTTAAAAGGTTATTCTATTGGAGCAGTGGGTTGGACTAGAAGACCTCTAAAGTCCCTTCCAACTCTCTTATTCTGTTATTCTCTTATCCCAGATCTGTCAATCAGTGGAAGGGCTTGCAGTGATTCACTGAAGAAACGTGGCAAGAAAATTAGTAAAATGGGCCAAATCTCACGTCACAAATGTCTCACTTAGCAACATACATTTTGGGTTCAATTGTGGCCGTAAGTTGAGGACGACCTGTATTACGTTGAAGGTGTAAAGGGAATTTTAAATATGTTAAAAGTGATTTGGAATTCTTTGGGATCAAAATATTCTATTGCGTTGTTCTAGAAGTCTCAGTGATTCCATTGCTACCTATTTGACCTCCCGTACTTAACCCATTTTTTAATTATTATTATTATTCCGGCAGTGCTTGAATGTTAAAACAAATTTTCCCTTCAGATCATTTGGCAAGTAAGAACAAACCTTTATTTAGATCCTTTCTGTCCAATACGGGATCATTTGAGATCATTGCTAAAATTAGCCAGCCCAATGCATCTGCTTGCTGGGGGGAAAAACATCAGGCTTAGACCAGACTTGTTGTGATCAAAACACATTCCTTGCGTGTTCAGCATACCATCATTTCTGCATGAGGTGGCATTCCACATGGGTCTTACTAAAATCATTCTAAAAATCCATGCTCCAAGCTTTGGAACATAGAATTGTAGGCAGCGGTGGGATTCCAAATCTTTTTCTACCGGTTCTGTGAGAGTGTGCTTCATGCATTCTGTTCTGACCCCCCTCGTCCCACACCAACACACTCCGAGTCAAAGATAAGTTACAGCATTTAATTAACAGACAGACAGGTCCTTGGCAGCAAACCAGCACAGACAAGCTGGGCAGCAATTCAGGTCAGATAAGCCCTGGCAGCAATCCAGCCTGCCAAGCTCACAAAAATGTTCTCCAACATTCGTTCCTGTGTTGACATCTGCAAGAGAGGCATGTGCACAAGCAGTCTTTTTATAGTCTGGAGAGCAGCCTAATGACCACCAGCTGAGTGCAATTACCTCATGTAACTGCACAATTGTTCCTTATGCCTATTAGCTCTTCGGTGCCGGGCATCCAGGAACAACTCACTGCTGACCTCAGGCTCACACTCCCTTG